TTGCAACCTCAAAGTGCTCTTCTTTCGTCACGTCTCCATCACTTATAGGCGGAAATGGCCATTAAGATTAAATGATCGACGCATTTCCGGAGAGATAGGATGATAAAAGATGGAGTGTTTTTTTGCATCAATGAAACCTAAAAAACTGCTTCCTAAATTCTTTACTAAAGTCACCATGTTGATTAGCGTTCAGGACTCTTTGTTAACATATGGAATAGTAACTTTAAAACTAAATATTCTTTGGTAGAAAACAATCTGTCATTAAACTTGTTTTCCTGGTACTTATGCACAATTGGAAGTAACTCTTGTTCAATTTCGATACAATTAATTTCTTTGAAGCTCTTACAATAACGTTGTACAGTCAAGTCAAAGTCCTCCTACCATTTTGTTTTTTCTTTTTTCTTTTTTTTTTTTAACTTCATCTGTTTGTTCTTAGATTTGATTGTGTTAGTAAATAGTAATTACTCACAACTTCTCGCAAAATCTAATTACGAATCTTTGCTTTTTTGGGTTTGAGCTTTTTACCCATGTGATGAGATGAGATGTTGAAAAAGTTTAGAGCTGATCCAGATTAATTCCAGATCAGTAGTGTAATTAATTTGTTGTGCTAATTGTCATTTATATGCCGTAGCTTTTGGGATTATGGACAGCCCACAAAAGGAGATAATAACATTATGATCACTTTGCCACATATATATGATGATTATTGCATAGTGTATCCCCATGGAAGCACGCATATTTGCAATTTGGAGCCCGAAGCAGCAGCAGCTGTGGGACTCCATCTTTTGCACATATTTCCGCCCTAAAGCTTAGTATCAAATGAGCATGTTTTTGCAATGGAGTCAATAAAAGCTGCTTTGGTAATTAGTATTTCCAACATGCATCCTCTTCTTCTTCTATCATTCATTTCACTCATTTCTTGTCGCCTTTTTTTTTTGAATTTTTTTCATTTTTGGGGGCTTGTGAAATGAATCATATGGATGATGTTGATAGTTAATTAATTTCATGTATTTTGACTCAGCTTTTAAAAAATAATACTTTCTTCTCATCCTTAAAAGAGTCGCATTTGTTTGTACTAGTTTAGATCATATTAATTCCAAACTGAAAATAATGGTATTAAATAAACTAGCACTATCGTACTAGGAGAAGGTAAGAGAACTGCATATATACTGTATTATGCAACCAAGTAACTAGTTAGATCAAATTTTTAATTTCTGAGATAGACATATAAGATGCAATTGTCACGTTAGTACTTTATGTAGAAAAGCTTGGCATATATTGGTGCGTATAGCAACGGTTACATTTATAGACTAGCTAGGAATTGTGTATCAAATAATTTATGTACAGAGATGGAAAAGGATTGAGTGACAATGAAAGATTGGAAGTGTGATTGATTCAAAAGTACAAAATGTAGCCACTATAACAACAATGAAAGATGTACTGTGGGTCAAACGTGGGGGTCTTCCGCATGATTATGATTCTGAAATGAGTAAATACTAAGATCACTTGGAGCATGCCTACAGAAGGTGGCGCTTCTTCATTTTTCGACTAATCGAGTGTTTTAGAGCACACATTTTATTTCGTGATTTTAAAAGGGCATAAAACTACCAACTGATTTGTGGAAAACGGCTAGCGTGGAAAAGAAAATTAAAAATTGACACAAAAGGATAGAGGAAGAAACGATCATTTGAAGAGCCATGATAAAGCCTGATGAATCTAAACCCATCGATACAATGATATGTTCCATTACAATAAATCAATCCATATATCGAAATCTGTAACGATTATTACATTTGAGCTAACCCGTCATCAAGTATAAGTTAGATTCATAGACGGAATAAAAATCATGGTTTATGGAAGTTTGATGAAAACCATCATCAAACATAATCTATTAATCATAAACCATGCTAATTAAGTTTGTTTACTAACTACAAACTCCTTAAATAAAATAGTCAGAGTGGTTTTAGACTTTTATTAGTGAAGAGTACAACTTGCTAGCGGCTTCTTGAGAACACAGATTGGATCGAAACAGCTTAGGAAATGCTGCTTTAATCAACTCCAGTCCGTATAATTTCCTTTCTAATTAGTCAATGGTCAAAGTTTTAATTTCCTCTCTAATTTTTAATCAATCACAAACAGGTCAATTGATGAAAATCATGCATGTACACATTTGATTCATATCGAATTATTATTATTATTTTTTTAATCCTTGATTGGAAGAACAACTTAAGTTTAAAACTTTTTCTCGAAAAATTAAAAATGTCCACTTTTACCAATCAGAGTAGTTTGAGTTGATGTTTTGCTTGGTGACTAATTTATATCTTACTTCTCGTGATGTGGTTTTGGAGTTGGATTAAAAACACGTTAAGTAATACAGTTTCAGAGATACCATGCAATTAATATAGATAATAGTGGGTCTTATATCAAGATTTGAATTGAGTTTAATAAGAACTAGAGTGCCGAATTATGTGGTTGTTTCGAGGGTTACATCTTGGTTGGTTGTTGGGTATGCGAAAGATTATAGCCGAAGTGGATAATTTGAGTGTTGTGAGTTGTAATAATGGTAACTTGAAGTGAGGAAGTGTTTGGAATACATCGGGAGTTCGTGATGATCATCCGTAAAATACTTCAGAGAGATTGATTAGTGGAGTTAGAGCATATATACATAAAAATGAATTTTGCTGCGAATTCTCTTGTCTACTTGACAACTTCTAGCTCTGGTGATTTGTCAATGTCGGATGATCCACCTACGAGTCTAAAATCTTGGTTAGAACATGATGTGATTAATATATTACATTAATGAGTTGTGATAGTTTAATACTCAAGCGATTGCTCCTTTTATTGTAAAAAAAATAAAAGAAAAAAATGTGATAACCATGAATCAGACAATAAAAGCATCTTATACGTACGTATTCATGGAGAGGGGGACATCGCGCAAGGCAGACGGGCAGCTACTACAAATTAAAATCATATTGGAGCGGACATTAAACACACAATTTAGGACAAGCTATTTAACATTGCTCAGAATTGACCCATTCACATAAGATGGTAGACTAATTGTCGAATTATTAATCACTTGAAAGCTTTACTTACTGACTATCCCAAAATGACCATGCAAACCCACGATTGATACAACGAATATATATACTCCAACGTTAATTAAATATTAACACAAACTTAGATATTCATAAGCACTTCTTTTGTCCCAAAATTATTGCCTAGTTTATATTTTAAGTTTTAGAATAATTTGAATTAGAAATGAAAATTCAAATTAGACAATAATTTTAGAAAAGAAAGAGTAGAAATTTAAACCTATCCAATGTTTTTTTTAAAAAAGCAAATATACTTGTATTAAGATTACTGGAAATGGTCCGTTACTAATTGAGAGATAAAGTTTGGAAGTGAATTCCAAACAGTTTCGGTTACATCTAATGATTTAGCAAATTTGGCAAAAGAATGGGCGATAACATTTTCAGAACGTGGGATCCAGGAGACATGGCGGATTGACAAGTCCTTACAAAAAAGGATCACATCTTCTAAAATTGGAACGCATGCTGAAGGGCCGTCTGATTCTTGGTTTGCAGCTAACACAATCAGAGTAGAGTCACTAAGAATAACCACATTTGACAAGCCAATTTTCCGATATAATAGCAAGGCTTCACGAAGAGCCAACGCTTCAGCAACATTCGGATAGACTATATCCATGAATCGACGAGCCAAACCTTGCATAAAGCTATCCAACGTTAACCTCCACACAAAAAAGAGTTTAATCCCACCAAGAAAAGCCACGGACAACTACATTCAGCATCCACTAGATTACATATCCTTGAACATGATAATAATTCTAAAATAGCTCCTAACACCCCGAATTCCTGCAAAATTTTGTACACATCTTGGAACACTAAACAGCAAAATCACTATTGAACCCTTTTTTCTAATTTTTCGACCGTTAGAAATTGACTTATTTTGCAAATACAATATCAATATATATATTAATTTAATCCGGTTGTAATTCTAATTTGCGAGGGTCGTTCTAGTTATATACGAGACTCTTGATTAATAATAACACAAATAATTCCAAAGATACAAAGTTAAGCTCTTGAGCTGAATTATGAGTTCTGACCACTCTATTGAATTTTGCGATGGGTTTTGTAGGGAAGGAAGAAACTAAGAATTAATAATCAGGAGAAAAATAGCTCACCCATCAGATGTTGTTTCTTATAATTGATTGGAGGAAGAAGTTAGAGCGAGCAGAAATGAAGGATTGTAAAAGTGTGGTGGATCTATTTAGATAACTTTATTGTTCTCTTATAAAAATAAAAAATAAAAATAAAAACAAAGAAAGAAAATCATGTTTCCTTATTACTCGCTCCGGTTTCAATATAAGGTATTTTGATTTATTTTAGATTTAACTTGTTACGCATTTTTAATTGATAAAAAATATTTAAAATATCTCTTAAGAGTCAAGAGAGCATAAAGAATGTGAAAATATATTTTTAAGATTTTTTTCATTAAAAAATACATATTAGATGAAATCGATGACAAATCAAAATGCCTTATATTAAGGACCGGAGGGATCGCTGCATGCAAATGCAAAAATAAATAAGTCACATTAATTGCTTCTTCATCCTTAAACAAATAATTTAAATTGAGTTTTCAAATTTATATTATTTTTCGTATAAATACTAAAAATTAATGTGTATTATTTTTGCACGTTGTGAACCAAAATTTTCTTTTATTAACTTTATGAAATATTTTAAGGATTAAACTCTTATTACTCGCATTTTTTTGTATCTTGTCAAGTCTTGTGTATATTCACTCGTTGAGATCTTATTTTTAGAGCACAAATTTATAAAATTCATGGTAACAAAATATAATAATTAAAATATGTGTATTATGTCGGAAAAACAATAATTTGACTAATAATGTGTATGCAGTATAGTATATATCTCCATGTACAGCCACAAACAAAGATCACCAGTATTTATTTGAGTTCATTTGGGGGTGTCAGTTTCATTCACTCACTATTGTCTCTCTCTCTCTTCTCACTCAATCACCTGAGTGACTGACTCCACCGCCGAACGTCAACCAGAGATCCTTTTTGAATATTCTGGCCTTTTATCTCTCTCTCTCTCTCCCCCTGTTTTTCTCTTTTGATTTCCCGCATACTTTATAACCAACAACAAATAAATACCCTGAATAGAAAAAAAACCACATCACAATCTGGGCTCTTCTTCCCCCATATTAGCCCCACGTCCACAAATTTCACAACTCAGCATACCCCCACCTAAACCTCTCCACAGGTATCACCGCCTCCTCCTCCCTTCACTATTTTTTGCCTACTTCATTTTTTCTTCCCTTTTGTCTGTATTACCTGTCAAAAAAAAAAAAAAAAATTATGCTGCCATTCGAGTCCATTCAAGAGGCGGAATCCGCCTTAGGCCGCGGCCTCTCCACGGCGGAGACCCTCTGGTTCAATTATTCCGCCCGTAAATCTGACTACTTCCTCTACTGCCACAACATCCTCTTCCTCTTCCTTATTTTCTCCGTTGTCCCTCTTTACTATATTGCCCTTGAGCTCTTCTTCCGCAACTCCGTCTCCCCTTACAAAATCCAGCCCAAGGTCCGCCTTTCCTTGTCCGAATGCTTCAATTGTTACAAATCCGTCATGCGCAGCTTCATTCTCATTGTGGGTCCTCTTCAACTCGTCTCTTATCCCTCTGTCCAGGTCTGGCTCGATCTTTCTTCTTCTTCTTCTTCTTTTTTTTTTTTTTGTAATTGATTCAACAATGTATGGCATGCACGGTTGTTGTAATTGGATTTGAGCAATGAAATTGCTGTGTATTACTTATTCAATTTCAGTTTTCGATATTCTCCATGTTGTCTACATGTTTTATACAATGGAAAGTTTGAATCTTTGCTCGTGATCGCTTTTCTGATGCTCTGTAATCTTCTCTTTGTTTTTGGTTTAGATGATTGGGATTAGGTTCGGCTTGCCCTTGCCTTCAGTATGGGAAATAGCAGCTCAATTGACTGTCTACTTTATAGTGGAAGACTATTTGAACTATTGGATTCATAGGTTCTTGCATTGCAAATGGGGCTACGAGAACATCCACAAGGTTCACCATGAATACACTGCCCCAATTGGATTTGCGGCGCCCTATGCTCACTGGGCTGAGATTTTGATCCTCGGGATCCCGTCTTTCCTCGGACCCGCCATGGTCCCTGGCCATATTATTACCTTCTGGATGTGGATCGGATTAAGGCAGATTGAGGCTATTGAGACTCACAGTGGGTAATGCACGCATGCTTTCTCCTTAATTGCTTTTATTAGCTTGGTATTATGCTGGAAAGTTGGCTTCTTTTTCATGTTTTGTGGTTTGATTAGAGGTCATTTTCGTATTTTTCCCGTCGGCTAATTTGACCAAATGATGTGCTCACTAGCATGCACTGGTCACTTTAAATTTTTACACTTTTTTGTTTTTTGAGGATTGAGTTTATCCGTGAAAAGTAACTGTCAATTGGTGGGATCATTGACAAAGGAATGTTCAATGGACTTTTTTTTGATTTCTTAAGGTGTGCTTCTTTTTTATCTCTTCTTTATCATTCTACAGGTGTGTAACATCTTCCCCCTTTTCCCAAATTTCTGTTCACCTCCACTTCTTTGTTACTTTTTCAATTTCATCTTTTTGTTTGGGATTAATTATTGAGCATGTTGATAAAATAAATTGCAAAACAAATCTGATTTCACTGCATGATGGAATTGTCCACTTGAACATTGCACTGCGCCTTTTTTCTTCTTGTTGCATGATGAACTAGTCCACTTGGATATTGCTTACGCTCCTCATTTTACCTTTTGCAGGGTTTTCTACAGAATGAGTTTGTATCTTACACTAACCCTTGCATGTAACAGAGATTCCTTTCTTTTCCTTATCTTTTTGTTTCTTTGAGGTGGCTTTAATTATTGAGTGGATGTGTAACTGTGATGTCATGCTTCTCTAGGTGTGTTTTGATTATTCTTGTTATTCCTTTTCGAGTACCAGTTGAGTGCTGTTGTTTTAATTGGTTTTTTTGTGCTGTCGGAACTAAGCTACAATTTATGTCATGATCTTGACTGCCCCTTGAAGTGCTTTTGTCATTTGCTATGCTGCATCAATTTTGGTTTCTGGACCTATATGATTAATTGTCTGTGCTGTCGAAACTAATCCACTATTTGTATCATGGTCTTGATTGCCCGAGAAAGTGCTCTTGCCGTTTGCTATGCTACATTAGTTTTGGTTTCTGGACCTATATGATTGATTGTCTATAGTGAGTTAAGATTGAACATGATGTTTGATGGATGATGAGCATGATCTACGAATAGATTGATTCAGGGGATAGTGGTCTTTTGTTGTGCATATTTTCTCTGATGAAATCATAGATTAGTAGTGTGCATGATCTTTTCATGTAAGTAGAAGATACTAGTCATAATTGAAAGTTGTTGTTTGGTTTTGGCTTAAATGGATACATCATTATTGTGGGGAAAAAAAAGAAAAAAGGTGACTGGGGGAAGACATCAGGTTAAGCAGTGTTATTAGCTTTCTCTTCTTTCACTCTGTGATGTTCTTGGAGTTTCCGCCTGCCTTTTTATAGTATTTGGAGGTTTTACTGTAAAGATGCGAGTTGAATATAAGGACAGAAACACATATTTCTCTACCCTGTTCCTGTTTGTTATTTTGTTGCACTTCTACTTGGTTTAATTGCACTTTCAAATGCAGGTATGATCTTCCCTGGACTCCCACAAAATACATTCCATTTTATGGTGGTTCAGATTACCACGACTACCATCACTACGTCGGTGGCCTAAGCCAGAGTAATTTTGCATCGGTTTTCACATATTGTGATTATATTTATGGGACGGATAAGGTAATTAACATTAGTTTGGCTTGTATTATCAGCATTAATATGGGTCCAAATTGGTTTACTGATATAATGCTCTCTTGTTTCTACTTCATAGGGCTATCGCTATCAAAAGAAGCTCCTTCAACAGGTATTTTGTAAACATTTTTTCTGGCAACCCGCACTTTTAGTTGGTAAATGGATTTCTGCTTGTCCATTGTTGATCTGGTTACTTGGAAATCATGCATCTTACGGATCTTACAGACTGTATTATAAGAATTGAGTTCTGAAGATGAAACAATCCTATTTTGAATTCATAGTTGAGTATTAGTTAAATTTTTGGAGGTGAATGAATGGCTATTTTGAACAATTTCTTTGGAGTAATTTTGTAAACTTACATTATGTCTGAGAATCTGAGTTATCATGAGTACTGCACTGCACTGCACTGCACCTTACTCTTTTGCACTAAACATGGTGACTTTTGTTTTGGACTTCTAGAATCATGCTGCATAACATGATTCATGTTTTGGCAGTCTTGTTTCATGACAATCTTCATTGTTGTGCAGTTGCAGGAGGGATTGAAATCCAATGGCGACCTCAACGGGGTTCCTTCCGAAAATCATAAAGCTGACTAATTTTGGGATGTCAGAGCATCAGAACCTTCTCCACCAAGGCATTGCCTCTTCCCATTTACCACACCACTCAAAGCCTTAGGAATTGAGTTGACATGTTGTGTAGTGTTTTCACGGCACTAATATCTGCTAGTCTGTGATCTTAAGTTTTTCTGATGGGATGTAAGTTTAAAAAAATATCTTCTAATGTTATAATCTTGTGTAGCCTCTTTTCCGGTCCGGGGTAAGCTTGAAAATTAGTGTAGGGGCCTGAACTTGGTTTGCCGTGTAGTGATATCCAAACAGCAAGTGTTGGGTTGATGCATATTTTCCAGTAAGCAGGAATTGGCTTGCATCTTTTGGGCCGTTTGCAATTTGCAAATCACTATTGATTGTATAAACTAGTATTGCTAGTACTACTCTGCAGAATATAGATGTTTTGGCTGTGTTTGAAGTGCTCATGTTGGAAGAACTCAAACCAATTCTATCCGCTTGTCATTTGACATTAACAAACGTTGTCCAGAGGAACCAACAAACTCAAAACCTGCATAAATGTCCTGTCTTTATCGTGGTAATTCATTACAGTATCACTGATCTCTGCTTGTTCCGAAGCTTTCATTTTCCAGAATTGAATGGCCCTTCTCTTTTTCAGTGCCGGAATGAATTACCACCATTTACCACCACTCTTTTACCAGCAATATGATGCAGTCCTTACTTTAAAAGTAGCAAACACTCACCAGGGCTGTGACTTACAACAGCCATTAGGCTCTGCAGTAAATAAAGATGGCCGTATTGTTTCCCTGCTGAACTGTTCTTCAGGCAAGAAACCCTTTTTACGGATCCCCAAAATTCAAGACTCAAAAGACAGATGAGAGCCACAATAGTACCAGGTACAGCATGGGCTTCTCGTGCTGTTGTTATTCATTTTGTCGTTTCATGTATAAGCCCAAGTCTCATCAGTTCCATTCAGCTCATAAATCTAGCTTTGAAACTCTTAACCTTATGCTAGTAAGTCATATTATGATGATGCTATAAGCTTTCCATGTTTAAAATTTTGCATAAAACACACTTCAAAAAATGATGCAATTTATCAAGATTCTGAATGAATGCTTCATTTACAAATGTGTAACTAAAGCCCAAATCTTCAACTCTGGCCTCTAGTCCACAAGAATTTTAAAGATGAGCCCTCAAATCAGACTTGCTTTTCTAAATTACTAGAATATATGGAGCAGCTTAAAAGTTTTTTTGACATTCTCTTGTCAATATACCTTATACCAGTTCAGACATTATTCCCTCGTGGACTCAGAAATTCTGGCTTTTCACGGAGCATCATCAATCTTTACCATACACAGGTAACGTAACGCACCTCTGCTGCACCAATGATTGGAATGGATGGAACTTCAAATTCAAACCCTTTATTAATTATAAAGAAAAATCCATCTGATATTCCTCCAAAAAATGTGAAATCTATGGCTCAAAAAATGCAGACGAGGGTTGCTCATTAAATTAATTGGTACCAGAATCACCAATATTCTTCTTTTCAGCAGAACTTTTTAGTAGTATTAGCTTTTGTGCTACCACATTCTTCACGTTTAGTCACCCTCATTATTTTGGTACTAAGAAAAGCATGGCATTATTTCATATTGGCATTTCTTCCATTACTAATTTTGTACTATTTGACTTGAATTTTTGCTGGTTTTTCCAAAGTGATGAGGGTGGAGAATAAAAATCTTCCAGCCAGTTTTCTTCATATTAAACTTTGTTTGGCACTTGTCAGCATCTTTCTAATTGGATTGATTTAATTGGGGAATTAAATAAACAAGCACCAGAATAAGGTTCAATTCCGCTTTACTCTAAATTCTAATGTTCCTCCAATGAATACATTTCACTAATCCTGCAAATCAGATGTTCTGTTCCAAATTTTCGGCAAGAACATAATCTCGTCTCAAAAATTAATTTGTACTTCCAAAATTACGGATCTTATTTTGGGACGAAATGAGCAACATTTATCAACAAAATGATGTTTACTTCACTTATGGCACGCGGTTGCTACACAGCATTTCATCCATGCTCTCTGCAGTGCCACACGTTGTAACATAGTGTTAGAACGTGTTTACAATGAATGAATTGTCTTGTACAAAGGGTTCAAAACAGAAAGAAATTCTTCCCTGGGAAGAATATTGATATTGATATTGATATTTCAATTGAAGCAAATACTGGATCCATATTGATGAATTGGATCATGTTTGCTCAACTGAAGAGATAAGAAATATAGGCCGGACAACGGCCCTCCTACGAAAGGCATTATGTTGGAATTCCAGAACTGGAAAAAAAAAATTAAAAAATACAAGTTGGTAAGCACTAATTAATGTAACTATATTAGTAGTCAACTCCTTTTTTACATACACTTGTGAATTCTCATCTTGGTTAGAAGTTAAGAAATTAGTTCATAGGACTAATCCATTAACAGGAAGTTCTGTTTTCCAAAATATGTTTTTGACAGAGTACCTCCCTCGGCTTCGAAACGGATGTTATTGTTATGTCGTGCTTATACTCCTTCCGTCCCATAATTATTGTCCAATTTGCATTCTCATTTTTAGTATAATTTGCACTAAAAAATAAAATTTCAAATTGAACAATAATTTCGGAACGGACGGAGTGTTTCTCAAGACACGATGAATCCAAACTATCCTCCAAATTACACGTCAAAAAACTCTAACGTGCATTGAATCTCTTAAAAAAAAAAACTACAAATCCTGTTTGCCTGCCTCACCCCAGATCATCAGCAAACAATAAACCGTATTGCGTTAGTACCTCAGGTCCTCATCAGGTGACTTCCTTTTGTCCTAAAAACTTTACAATTATTCATCAGGTTATAATGTTTAGTTTAACTCTTGTGATGGTTTTATGTGTTGGTTTATTGTGTCTGGGAAATTGCATCATCTGAATCAAGGATTCAGGGGGATGGCTCCCATGGTTGGCACATTTATTAATTGAAACTATTTAATTTTTTTTTTTCCTTGGAACAATGACAACACATAAAACACTTTACGTACGAAAGGAAGAAAAAAAAAAAAACATAAGGAGCAAAGTGAGTGAGAATTGTCCAATAGGAAATTCAGTTCGTGGAAGAGAGAGGAAATTTTTTTTTAACCTTTCTACTAGTGTCATTCCCAATTCCATTAATCCCTTTTTTATAATTGTAATAGTTGTACTAGTTTAGATGAATTATTTGACTAACACTTTCTTGTTTGATGGAGACCCGCAACTATATATATTTTGCACAATGATACTATATCTATAGTGTTCTTTAATCATTTGGAGCCTCTTAAGTTTGGGTGAAATTATCAATTTTGTAAAAAATGTGAAATTATCAATTTTGGCAAGAAAAACAATTATGGTCTCTCGTGTGTTGATATCACAATCATAAACAGTTGAAGCATCATTCTCTCATGTGTTCATGTAAACTGGCAAAATCCGGAGGAGCTTGTCTTGTGATTATTATTGTCAGCAGCCCTCATGTTTTTTAAAACAATATTCCGATTAAGAATTGAACTCAAGAGCTCACGATCGTAAATGAAAGAATATTTTCTCTGTATCTTTTACTGTTGTACATTGTGATGTATATATACAATAATATAGAAAATGCTGGTCGACTATTTCGAAAACCCTAATTCGATTTCCTTAAATATATAATCTATCAGTAAACTCTGTCTTTATGTATTTCTTCGTATTTCATCAAACTATGCAAATGAAAGTTCCTTAGAAAAAATATGAAAATAGCATACTCTGCTACACTTGATATTCCCCATGCCAAACAAAACCATTACTCGTTTTAAAAATGTCGGCGTTTCTTCAACATTAATTGCCCCGAGAAAGAATAACAACGACTATTTGTGGAAATTCATTACAACCGTTGGTTGGTTTTTGATGTGAGCTTTCTTTTTTGTCTTTTGAAGCCAACTTGAATTACAAATCCAACAAAATTGATACTCCCCCTCCTCCCTAAAAATAAAATTGTCGAAAACAAAGTGTATTGCACAAAATGGTCATTGTCAAAGAATTGCCTAAACGATCCATCGATTTTGTGATGCAGTATGCTTTTTTAAATTAATCATTTCTATAGGTTTCTAAACAACACACAAATTTCATTTTCAGTTTCAATTATGGTCATACGATTCATTTCATCGGAATTGAATGTTTAGGTCCAAATCACGCATATTCCACCATGTTTTCTTCTTTGAAACCTTTCATATTAACACTTTCAAACAAAATCACATTCTTACGAGTTCATGTACAACATATGTGATATACATTTAAAAAATTCAAATTTTGGCCATTGTGAATGAAAATAATTAATGAAAAATCCAATCACGACATCGTTGTAACATAGTACTATGTTTGAATCGTTTTTTAAGGTGTGGTTTTATGTGTTTTTTATATAAAAAATATAAAAGGTATGTCGGGATGGATATATATTAATTAAAAATTCAAAAAAAAATTACAGGAAAAAGCTTCCAAAAATATTATTTTTTGTGTAATAACCATTTTTTTTATAATGAATACATGGTGTATTGGTGTTGAGTATAGTATAGAGTAAAAAGTCTAATAACAAAAGCGAGAAACGGACAAACAACTAAGAAAAAAGGACTTGGAGTCCAACAACGTCAAGCCCCACAAAAACAAGACCCCAACAACGTAAAAAAGCAAAGCAAAAGTCCAAGACAAATGTTTACAACACACACACACACACCAGCAACAACAACTATTCAACGTATATCAACATCTCCTTCCTCCCAAATCTCGTGATTATTTTTTCTTCTACCAATACCATCTCTATGCAATAAGAACATGTGGTAAAAAACAACAAACAATCACAAGTAACGTATTGCTCGTTCTTTTCGAAATAAGTAAAACCTTTTTTTTTTTACTGTTTTTAGTTTAAAAAATACAATTCTCTTTTTCGAATGTAAAAAACCAGAGAGCATATGTTTATTTTTAATATATATACTCTCTTTGTTTTAAAGAAATACAATAGTTCATATTTACTTTTGATATTTGTACAAAAAAAATAATATAAATTATAAAAAAATCTAATTGCTAATTGCTGAATAGTATGATTTGAAATGTAAGTTGACGTCCAAACAAGCACTAATATCTATGTTAAAGTAAATGTTTGACTCGCAAAATGAAGAAAGTCCTAATGTGTTTCAACAATTAGCAATTGCTAAATTATTATGTGCTTTTAAGTTAATTACTACTCTTCCGTCCCAAAATTATTGTCTAGTTTTGATTTTCACTTTTAGTTCAATTTGCACTAAAAATGAAAACTCAAACTGTACAATAATTTCGGAAAATATTAAAATTTAATATTAAAATAACTACTCGATAACTTAAAATTTTAAGTATTGACTACTCCCTTTCTCTCTCATGTATAAACCTTTTTTCCTGGGGAAATTTTAATTTACTAGTATATTGGACTAATGTCTAGTGTTTTTCCATGTAATAATAATGATTAACCCAAGAGGTAGCTATCTCAGCATCTCCCTATAAGAAAGATAGTTGTCTTGCTTCCAAAAATCAGTACCCGCAATCCAGGAAGCCACAAAAATAAAACAGAAGAAACAAAAACAAAGAACGATTTGTTTAGTCAATTTGCTTTAATTTTTACGGATTTAATCTCTTTGATTTTAATATAATAATTCCGTTGTAATGTTAGGTATCTATGGCAATTTTATAACATACGCACAGGATGACAAAAATAAAACTTCGAAAATTACGACCCAATAGCTTCGCATCAATACTAATGCGGGTGATCTTATATGTCGCTCTTTCATATAATATTGCAAAATTAAAAAAAAAAATTAGAACCTGTATAACCAATAAATTTTTTCATTTTTTTCTCTTTTTATATCCCAATATCAAGAGATATCACAAATTCTAAAATTAAAACTTTGTCCATACATTTCCACAACAATAATAATAATGCAAAAACAAAAAGAAAAGAGTCAATTTGAAATAGTTAGGGGAATTTGTGATTTTCGTTTGTTGTATACAGTATATCTGACAACAACCACCAGCTGGTTTCATTTATTTATTGATTATTATTTCTTTTTTGAGGATTTATGTTGAAAAATTATTTCCATACAAACAGAATTTTCCTGAAAACCTATTTTTCCCCGAAAACTTAAAAAAAGAAATGGAAAAGACAGGAAAATAATAGGAAAAGATTTTAGAACCTTCTATTCATCTTTAAAAATAAAAAATAAAAAATAAAAAAGGCGCGTGTTTTCCCAACACACTTTAATTCACACACTGTTCCCCACTCTCCTTGTTGTATGTATTCAGATTCTTTCACAGTGTCTCTTCTAAACCCCACACACACACACACACACACTCACAAACTGTACTCTGTTCTCCATTCACCATTCTTCCTACTCCTCTGTTCCCTTCCTCCATTGATTCTCTCAAGCTTTGGAAACTCCAACGAGAAAAAAAAAATGAAAACCCATTTCTAGCCTTTTCATCACCACCGGAGTTACTAACTACTCTTCCCCTTCCACCTCCATGGACCGCCGTCTACTGCCACCATCTTCATCATCTCCACCTCCACTTCCAGCCACCTTCCCCGGCTGACTGAACGCCAGAATACCTCATGAACCCACCATCACACACAGTAATCATTCTCAGAAAACACCAAAATTTTTAGTACTCCATACAATACCACATATATATACAACTTTGTAGCCCCAACCTTAACTTCCTCGAAACTACCAACCATTTGAAGGGGAAAAAATAAAGAAAGAAAAAGATCACATTTTTTTTTCTTCCCTCTTCCAATCTCCCCCCTGAGTTTAACAGACATTGAAAATAAACAGAGTTTTTTCTGTGACTGAAGGGGAGAGAGAGGGTTGAATTGAATAGATTGTTGATTCCCCCAAAATAAAAATTTTAAAAATAAAAGAAAAATGGATGCTGGAACGAACACAAGCAGCAATACACAACAAGTAGCTGTGGTGGAATCAGCATCGTCACTGTCAGCTGATGAGCTAACAGCCAAGGCAGTCCACAAGAGATATGAAGGTCTAGTGATGGTACGGACGAAAGCTATAAAAGGCAAAGGGGCTTGGTACTGGGCTCATCTTGAACCTATTCTGGTTCAGAATTCCGAGACCGGGATGCCTAAAGCTGTCAAGCTTCGGTGTACACTCTGTGAAGCCGTCTTCTCTGCTTCCAATCCTTCAAGAACTGCTTCAGAGCATTTAAAAAGAGGGACTTGTCCCAATTTTAATTCTGTTAAGCCCATTTCTTCAATTCCTCCTTCTTCTTCTTCCACTAATGTCAATTTGATGTTGCCTTCACCTTCATCTTCCCAACACAGTAATCCCCGGAAACGCAGTGGCAGTGGCCGTGGTAATGCCAGTTCTAGTACAACAAGTTCCTCTCAGGTGGCTCCAATGTCTGTTGATCCGACAAGATTTGCTATTGAGTTGGCTTACCCTCCTGTTGTCCCCATGACTACCTCTGTTGTTGTTACTGCCGCCACCACCAGCGGCGGCGGCGGCGGTGCCGGTGGCAATATTTTTGCTGCTCAACAACAACAGCAGCAACAGCAACAGCAGCAGCATTTGATTTTGTCAGGTGGGAAAGAGGATTTAGGGGCGTTGGCCATGTTGGAAGATAGCGTGAAGAAAATAAAGAGTCCCAAATCATCACATGGTCCAGCATTGAGCAAGAATCAGATTGATGCGGCACTTGATTATCTTGCTGATTGGGTTTATGAGTGTTGTGGGACAGTGTCTTTTTCAATTCTCGAGCATCCTAAATTTAAGGCATTCCTTAACCAGGTTGGGATGCCTGTTGTTTCAAGAAGGGATTTTACCGGGTCAAGGTTGGATGGTAAGTACGAGGAAGCTAAAGCAGAGTCCGAAGCCAAAATAAGGGATGCCATGTTTTTCCAGATTGCTTCTGATGGTTGGAAATCGAGGAATAATGGATACGTTAGGGAGGAGAATTTAGTGAATTTGGCTTTGAATCTTCCTAATGGAACCAGTGTGTTCAGGAGGGCGGTGTTTACTAGTGGTTTTGTACCCTCAAAGTATGCAGAGGAAGTTTTATGGGACACCATTTCTGAAATTTGTGGGAATAATTTGCAGCAATGTGCAGGCATTGTTGCTGACAAGTTCAAGGCCAAGGCATTAAGGAATTTAGAAAACCAGCATCACTGGATGGTAAATCTTTCTTGTCAGTATCAGGCATTCTGTAGTTTGATCAAGGACTTCAGCAAGGAGTTGCCTTTATTCAAGAATGTGACTGAGAATTGTTTAAAACTTGCAAATTTCATTAATAGCAAGTCTCAGATGAGGAATAATTTTCATAAGTATCAGTTGCAGGAGTATGGGCATGCTAGATTATTGAGAGTGCCTTTGCGCGGTTTCGAGGGGTCGGATTTTGGACCTGTGTACACTATGGTTGAGGACATTTTGAGCTCAGCCCGTGCGCTTCAGTTAGTGATACATGATGAATCCTATAAGATTGTTTCCATGGAGGAACCTTTGGCTGGCGACATCGAAGAAATGTTGAGGAATCCACACTTTTGGAATGAATTGGAAGCAGTACATTCCTTAGTGAAACTCATCAAGGTCATGGGTCAGGATATTGAGTCGGAGAAGCCTCGAGTTGGACAATGCCTTCCGCTTTGGGACGAACTCAGGATGAAGGTGAAGGATTGGTGCTCCAAATTCCGCATAGCTGAGGAGACTGTGGAGAAAGTGGTTGAAAAGAGGTTCAAGAAAAACTATCATCCAGCTTGGGCTGCTGCGTTCATACTTGATCCTCTTTATTTGATTAGGGACTCAAGTGGGAAATACTTGCCGCCTTTCAAATGCTTGTCATCTGAGCAAGAGAAGGATGTTGACAAACTCATTACACGGCTTGTATCTCGCGAGGAAGCTCACATTGCATTGATGGAGCTGATGAAATGGAGAACAGAAGGGCTTGATCCTGTGTATGCTCAAGCTGTGCAGTTGAAGCAAAGGGATCCAAGTACCGGAAAAATGAAAATTGCACATCCACAGAGCAGTAGGCTTGTCTGGGAAACTAATCTTAAAGAGTTTAAGTCATTGGGGAAAGTCGCCGTTCGGCTAATTTTCCTTCATGCGACATCGCGCGGGTTCAAATGCAACTGGTCCTTTTTGAAGTGGATGAGTGCTCATTCCCAGTCAAGGGTGGGCATGGATAGAGCTCAGAAGTTGATTTTCATTGCTGCACATTCAAAACTCGAAAGGCGGGATTTCTCCTGCGAGGAAGATAGAGAGGCAGATCTCTTTTCCTTGGCTAACGGTGAGGATGATGTGCTCAATGATGTTTTCATTGATACTTCCTCTGTGTAACATTCATTCAACCTTCTTTCTCATTTCCCCTAAAAGATTTTCTAGAATTTTTTTAATTAATTCTTTCTACAACTTGGTAGTTGTTCTACTTTTGTTACTTTAAAGAAGATTTTGAAGGAGTTGGTTGAAAGACAATTCATGCTATGAGCAGTTACTATGGAATTAGATTGTCATTTGTAAAGATTAGTCCATGATCAGAACTTGCGGGATAGAGAGGAGAAATGTAACATTTTTTGTTCCTTAATTAATTTGGAATGAAATATGTTTATAGTTAATATCTGTCCTTTTCCTTGGTCTTTAAGATCAGTCTTTACTAGTTTACTCTTACATTATTTCAGTATTTTTCATGAGTTGTATTGTTAAGATTCTTATCCGTCACCTGCTGCTTGTGTTTATCTTCGAAATTTCTTTCTGTGTCGCTGATTTAGCTGCTTTTCCTGATGTGTTTGACAAAAATTTCCTTCTTTGTGCTTTGCACTTCATCTGTGATCTATTGGGACTTGTGGTAGGAACCTCTTCAGTTCGATGTTACTTTGACTAAGCTTTGAATAAAAATCATGCTTAGCAGCCACAGTTTCGAGTTTTGCAGCTGATCCTTTTTCTCGCTTGGAAAATGTATGTGCTCTTTTATCTGACTATAATCCTGCTGAAAGATGTAATTCATTTCCGAGTAAAACCGTTCATATTCATTCTCTATGTTTTCAAGTTGTTGAAGTCAGAATGTCCCACCTTAGACTGTGAAAACATCTCAGATTGCCTGCAGACATCCGCCTATCTATTTTTCACAGTATGACTTGAAGTCGTTAATGATTTTCCTTGAAACTCTTGAGCTACATCATGAGGTCAGCCAGAATTCAGCAATTCCAGGGTATTGGCAATGATCTATCTGCCCACTATAGTTTATGGTAGAATTGACTATGATGGAACTTCATACCTGAAAGAATATTTGCAACATTCCAAGCATGTGATTTTTTTCTCCGAGTCAAAAGGTGAGCGAATTCAGTATGCATACAGCCACCAACCATATGATATCTGGTGAGTTCTAATCATAGTACTACTTGTTTTTTGTCCTGAATATCTTCACCTCCCTTTATGGTCTATATTTCTTCTACTTTCTCTTTCAAGTAGTTTTTCAACTAATGCTGCTTGATATTTTCATGATCTTCAAATTTTTGAGAAAAATAACTTGGACTTCCAACTCAAGCACTCGAAAGCAAAAACAAAAAATTTGAAGGTCCCTTTTTTGTTTCATTTATTCAGTTCCTCTATACATTGCAAGTCTGATGGTGCTTTTCTCGATCTCTAGTCGTTTGTGTTTGTGTAGTATTCCGGATAGGTTGTTTTTCATTAGCTAATACAGAGATGCAACATTGTATGGAGAGGGGTATAGCTAGGCAGACTGCCATAGGATGCTCGCGGTGGGTAAAGCAACGGTAGGATTATGATTCAAAGGAGATTTTTTTTCCCTTTTTTTTTTGTGGGGGGTAGAGGATCCTAGGAAGGACATGATTTGAGTTCCTTCATCAATATGTTCTCCTGAAAAGGGCAGAGGATTCTAAATACAGATAAGCAGATGGCGAACCGAATTTTCGCAAACAAGGTTTAAACTTGGTAGTAAGAGGACCTTAAAGAAAAAAAAAAAGAAAAGACCCTCTCTTATGAATTCTCTCCATCTTTGAGGAAAGAGTAGAAATACCCCACCACAAAAGCAGTGGAAGTCCATTTCCAAAATTTGGTTGTTATGGACAGAGGGAGAGAGGAAGAAAAGGGGCCCTTGGTGTTAATAATAGTATCATCTTTAGTTAACTTCTCTTTTAAACATTTTCAAAGTGTGTTGTATATATGGTGATTGTTCATGCAGAGAGTCATTGGATGATGTTATTTGCTTCTCCCCTCCATCATTGCTAAAAAGGTTTGTGAGGAGGACCCAAAGCAGAAGGCCTCTGTCGGCATGAAGCTATACGAAAGATGCCTTTGATAGCGATTTGGCAACCAAGAGTAACTAATTTTGCTGGTTTCCAGATAGCTAGCTTTGATTTTTCTTTTTTCTTTTTCTTTTTTTCTTAAAAAATTTTTTTTAAAAGCATCATCATTATTTGGTAATGGTATTATTCTTGTCCATGTTAATGTTTTCATTGTTCTTTTTCTTTTGCAATGATATGGTCATCATACATGGTTGTTCTGTTGAGGCTTTGAGTTTTGAACTTGGCAATCTAACTGTTGTTGATCTGAGGTTCTTCTGCTGTCGTGAAGGTAACCGGTAGAAATGATGCCTTCCGAGCTATGGAACACATTTGAGTGATGATAAATCACAGTCGTAACGGTTACTGTCGTGAAAATTTAACCGAATGAGTGAATATCGCATCAGTCACTACGAGAACTCGTTGTGATTATAAATCACAGTCTAGCAAAATCTTCCATATGCGTAAATAATTTGCGCAACTTGAATAAAAATCATGACTAGTTTACTAGTTTCTAAAAGAAAGACTGGATATTTTACTACAGAAAGTGGTAGAAGTCAACAAAGAAGTTGTACAGTTAAGGCAAAGAAAAAATCACATAACCACTAAAGCTATCAGATTTTAACGTAATCAAAACTCTTAAGGGTGTTCATTGCTCATCATGATTTTTTAGTCACACTTCAGTATTTTCCCATTAATGGAAAGCTGACTCTGATCATCTTCTCATCTATTACTGGTATAAAGTATACCCAGCTATACAGTAGTGTTTTTATTTTTTTTTTATAACCTTTTCGGAAATAAACAGTGATTTCAATTTTCAACCACTCTGTAGCAGCACATATACACAATTGTAAATTGTAAAATCAAACATGCGTTTGGTAGATGCTAGTAACTAGATAATACATGATAAAGGTGGTAAATTTCTACCTATGCAATTCGTATACTAAAATCAATATCGTAATGTAATGTTTATTCAATTTTTTTTTTTCGTTGCGCGTCGTGATAAAATTTCACTATTTTATCTTAAAAGTAATGTACTTTTTATTTTGTCACTAATTTCACTCTTAAAGAAGGATATATGTATTTCATTTGTAACACATAAGTAGGATGTACCTCACCAAAAGTATGGTAAACAGTGTGAAGGAAAACTAATACACAAATTGAGCATTTAAAATTGGGGATGATTAAGAACAAAATGAGGTAAGAGTAGTAGTGCTAATAATGGAAGGTAGTAGAGTAGCAGCATTATTGTGATGAAATTAGTACTATTCACATCTTCTTTATGTCATCTAAATTACCCATTTAGTGGAAAGACATAAATTCTTGTCGGCAAAAGATTAGTTACACAGGTCTAAACTAAAAAAGGTTAATTAACACTGACTACTCACCAACTCAAAAATTAAAGACAGCCTACTACTAATATATACTACCATTTGATTTGATTTTTTTTTTTTTTTTTTTTTTACCAAAATGAAATGCTCAGTCTTCTTCACTCGAATCCACTCAAGAAAAAGAGGTATTTTAATGATTGAAGTAGGACGACAATTTTTTCTTTTCTACAAGAATCTTTTATCCGGCCCATCCCATTGTTCCCTCTATAATTAACTTTCTTTCCCTTTTATCCCAATCTCATCTTCAATCCCCTCATTCTTCATCATGCTTCTCATTTTCCCTCCTTTTTTTTCCCCTTTAGGGTTCCATGAAATTTGCTGGAACTTAAAGTTTGAACTTTCCTTGTTCTACCTTTACAACACCTATTCTTTATTCTGGCTACTCCGAAACATCGAATCCAATATCAGCAGCTAGTTCTTTGGAATGACATTATACAAACACTTTAACATTACATATTTTTAAATAGACGAATAAACCGATGTTATAACAGATATAATAATCAAAGTATACCGAATACGCTGAGTTAGGTTTTAGCTTTACGATCAATATTCAATATTAGACCTTCGAAAAAAAGAGAATTACATAATTTTCTTATTATTTAGTATTTTTTTTTAACGGGTCGAATTTAGACGCTCTAATAAACAATTTTCGTCGGCATATCATCCCTCGCAACAGAGTATAGGACGGTTCTTGTAATTACGCACGTTCATGTTAAATTGAACCTTTCATTTTCAATGTCAAGTTGCAAAAGATACGATTGTTTCAGGGAAAAAGAAAAACTAATTTTAGTTGGGAATAAATAACCTACTAGTATCTTGGAGTAGTTCATTTTTATTTTATTTTTTTACTTTTTCAATTTTTGTGAGGAGTGGTCCAAAAATAAAAAATACAGTAAAAATTTATAGTGGGAGTATAACACAAAACAACGTGGTACAGATGCAATTGATTATTAAATCCAAGGGGAGATATGTCAGCAAACAATATTGGGGGTGTCTTTGTCAACTCGAGAAAAGGTAAAAACGATGGAATATAGTAGATGCTTTCTTTTGGGAAAAAGAAGGATACGAGGAGGGAGCTCCTCTGTTTCTGTCTCGGTTTCTATCTCTCTCTTACTTTAATTTGTTTTTTTTTGGTACTGTTGTTTCACATGGTATTCTACTGTTTAATTTCCCCCCTGGTTTGTGACCAAAAATTAAGGACAGAGTAGTTAGTTACACTTTGGTTTTGCAGAAAGTCCTTTCTCTTTTTTCAATTTTGTATGATTTGTATTGATTGTATCTATTGTTCACCAAACAGCCTAACAACTACTACCCCCCGCACATGGTTTTCTACTAATTGGGAAATGTAATATTGGCGGATACATCCTCGCGTTTACCCTCTGCTAGTCAATTCATCTCATACTTTTAAAATTGAGTAATTATATCTCAAAGTTTTTAAAGTTGAGCGCAATCATCCAATGACCTCTTGGCTTGGCGGAGAGATGGAGAGACGACATGGTGGTAGGATACTAGGATTAGTGAATTCTCTAGAGATATGAATTCGTCCAACTTGGACAACCAACAAAAATTTAAATGGTGTTATAAGGAATTTAAATAGTTCGGATTTTCCAAAAAGAGATATGAATTCAATGGAACATTTTTGCAATATTACCAAATATCGGGAGGTAAAATGTAGATATGACATAGCTCGGTGGGCAATATGTAGATTGCCCTTTCGAATTTTACCAAAAAGCTTTTGCATCTGGCTCTACATGTACTAATTTTTTTAATTCTATTTTTAATGTTTATTTTTAAAAAAGAACATCTTTTCTGGCTTATTGGCTCTTTTGCTTTCATATTTCAAATACGAAATGTCATTATCAAAAAATTAACAGCTACTACCTAGACCTATACATATTGGTCCAGTCCAGCATCCAAGCACTTACTTCCCTTGAGTATATCGCATTGTATTTCTTTGATTTCTTTTTTTTTTTTTTTAACTATTACTCACTCTATTATAATTAAATAATTAATTAATCAACCAACTCGCTTCTGCTTCATTTTCTAATAATAGATTTGGTTGGTCCTTACAAAAAAAAAAAAAAAGCAAATGTACATGACATTGTGCTTGAGTATTGTATCCTAGTAGTTGAGCTAGAAGGATCACCAATTTATTTGGAAAAATAAAAAAGTCCATATAGCAGGGAATAGAAAAATCGTGTGAAGTTGGGTACCACTAGTCCATATCAAATAAAAGTTTGATAAAAGTTAGTAGTAATTTAAATTTATCAGAATATCAAATTGTTGAACTATATGCATGGGTATTGATTTTCATTTTTATGTTTTTGGTGTAATGAAGGGATCAAAGTTTAAATTATCAAAATAAGTACATCATGAGGATGGAAAAAGACAGAATGCGGTGCATTATTATGTACGATTCTGCTGTTTTATATTGAGAAACTTAGATGACATTAGTCTTAGAGCATTATTCGTATATTTTTTTACTAGGATTTTCTTTTTACTATTGCCATTTTTTGACAAATTTTTATAAATATTTTACTAGTTGAAAAACAAATTTTTATAATTTTAACCAAAAAAGCGCACGCACACACACACTCAATAAAACGGAACACAACCTAAAACTACAAGCATTTAGATAGCAGCCGAAAGATAATTCGTAGACAATATTGAGCACCGCCATAGTCGTACGTTGTGATTAATTTATTCTGACGTAATAATTAAAGACGATAAATAATTTAACAATTGTTGAAAATAGGCGAATAATATTAAGAGTTGTACACTTGTACAAGACCCTTGTTGTGGTGGACGGAAAAGACTACTAGTCTACTACTACTAGTCAAAGCATTTAAACATCGTAGAAAAGTGGTATATATAATTAGTGGTAAGTAGTTTGGGGACCATCGAATAATTCATAAAAAAAAATTTTGATGTGGTATTTGGAATCACATGTGCCTCCCTCAAGGAATCTCTTACTTGTGTAGTCGTGTTTTATGTATTTTGGGAAGCAATATCACAAATCCACAATTTTTAGATCTTTCTTTCCGACCAAATTTCGGATGGCGATTTGAGACGGTTACATGTGTTTTGTTATTATGTAATTTTACTTAATTTTTTTTTATATGCGATAAAATACAACACGTTTTTTGAACTGCTATGTATTTCTTTCCTCAAAAAATGATTAGTTAAAAGTAGTACAATGGAGGCAGTGAACCATAATCTTTTATCACAAGGAATATTTGATTTGAGTAACAATGTCAATACGGGTAAAGAATGATGCAAAGAAACTTATAATGGATTATGTAATTCAATGTTTAAATAGAAGAATTTTAGTTTCGATGTATGATTATGATTTCACTCGCATTGTCTCATGATAATTTTTTTTAAAAATATTGTTCATTAAGAGATTATTACAAATACGAAATTTTAATTTTTGAAATTTGAAAATCTTTAGTATGTATTCTTATAGAGAAATCACAAAGAGGAAACAATATTTATCCCTAGAATGTCACATCATCAAAAATCTTAGGTGTAATTTTCTCATAAATTTTTAAAATAAAACTTAGTGTAATTGTGTAAAAGTCCTCTAAATTTAGATTGTTTAAATTATCTTGTCCCTTAAAGATTAGTGAAATTCAATGATATCCCGCTTTAAGTTTACAAAAAGAAGAGGAAGTTGAATAATTTTTGGAGTTGAGTAGTCAAAAATTTGTTCTTATTATTATTATTTTTTTTATGT